AAAATTATTCAATAATTTTTGTAACAATGCTCGATAAATCGCGTCAATAAGATTTTCATTGATGATTGAATAATTCTAATAGCTTAATCCTTCATTGGCGATTTATAGGAAAGTCATGCTTTAATGAGATAAAAATACAAGTTTTACTTTTGGTAGGATTTGAACCTACACCAATCACCCACATACATGAGAGAGATTGAAATAAGTACTCTAATACTTTTATAAAATGACATCATCATGTTATAACTAAGGGATATTTTAGATATTAAAATAAATAAAACAATTTTAGTAAAGGTGTGATGTGGATTTAGTCCCACATCGATTGTACACCAAAGTTTTGGACAAATATATAGTAATATCATATTTATAAGTAATGAGTCCCTTTTTCTTATGTACGACCACTCCTTGCCTCACACTTGGTTGACCACCAGTGATGTGGAAGGGGAGAGGCACACACGTGCCCCCATCAGTTCATAGTCGCTCAAGTCCCTATTTGTGGTTCCCTTCGACTATACTTTTGACTTGCTGGCAGGCTTGACTGGCCAGTGGGTCCTTCCCTTTTTTATATATATTTTTTAATTTATTTTTATTTATTTATCTCAAAAATAAGACTTTAAAAATCATATAAATTCCTATAAAATCATAAAATAAACCAAAAATTCACATTAATCAATTGAAAATCACTTTCACAATTTAACACAAATATAAGTCTATTTATCATGATTTAAGGCTGAAACTATATTATTTATTAGTTATTAACTCATGATAATGAAGACTTATTAGTCAACCTAATACATTTATGGGCCCAAGAAAGGGCATCATTCTGATTAGGCCTATTTGGACCTTGTGTGGCACATGACCTTGGCCTAGTCTATTTTAATTTAAAAGGGTTATTAAGAGATGAGATCTAGGTTGCCCATCGTAAGATGCCTTAAGATGAGATTAAGAGGAGAATTAGAGTGCCACCCTTATGGAAGAATTTGGACCATCCAACAAGAAAGTCAATTATTAATCATAATCGTCTATTAGAGGGGCCTAATTCTCTATTGGTTTAAGGTTTTGCTTGGCTCTTAGAGGGAGCTTTTTGACTCTCTCTAGTAGTGGCTAGTCAAAGGAAAAAGAACGAAAATCAAGACCCGACCAATGACATTCTCATGCTCACCATCATTTTAGAGAAGAGACTATTTAGAACACATTAAAATCATTGTAGATCAAGCACCACTAGGCTTAAGATTGACGTACAATGAGGTTTGTGTAAGATCAAAATTTGAGGTGTCCTTGTAATCTTCTCCATGGTTAGATTAACTCTTAGTTCGAACTAATTTTATCATTTATTTTATCATTTTATTTTATTAGATCTATTTTTTCTTTTTTGCCACACTTTTGATTTCTCTTGTCTTCACCCTTGTTAGATTAATTTCGCCCTTCACAATGTCATGTATACTTATACATATGCATATCTATAAAATTAAGTAAAATTCTTACTCTCATTACCCACACTCCTTGAGAATCAACCCTTGCTTATCCTAAATCGAAGAGAGGTTTTATAAATATTATTTACATGAACTTAACTACATCATGATGACATATTTAATATTTAAATCAAGTTCATCAGTACGAAATATATGTACTACAATAAGTTTCATTATTTTTTTATGCAGTCATATTTAAAAATGGTATAATTGATATGTCAATTTTCAAGGTTACATTTAAACAACTTACATTTATCAAGAAGAAATCAATTTCATAGGAGTATGCGTAGTGCTCAGTATAGCCCATATATGTTCATATGTAACTAATATATTCATCAATAGTAGTAGTGTCAAAAATGGAAAACTAGATGTCAAGGCTATGTCACATGTTAATAATTGATGACCCCTATGTTCATTGGTGCTCGATTTTTCTTGGTTTTTGGCATAAGGTTCATTAAAGCGTTTATACATATATCTAGGGTCATTAATTCAATTCATGAAACATAATATTTGGTAAAATTATATATAAAAATAGTTTAAATAGATTTATTTTATTTCGAAATTTTAAATCAAATTTAACTTTTTTTTATGTCAATATTTTACCACAGGGTAGTATAATTTTTATTATTATTTTGGATTTTTATCCTCTTTCGTTTATATTTAGTTTTTGATACTATGAATTACTACTGATTGAATTGTTACGTGAGTTGAGAATAATGTTTCTAAGTGAAAAACAATGAATATAACTTAACAATCAAGTATGAATGTTAGAACTATTGCAGACGTTCAAATGGCTAACTTTAGTTTATCCGATTTAGCATTAATGTGATCTAACACACTTCTGCATATTCAAGGTGTCTTTTTTAGTCTTAACAATAAAGAGGACGCAAATGCATGAACCATTGGTGGAATGAGAACATCTATATAAGGAAAAAATTTATGTGGGAAAACTACCTAGAGACTATTTGCATTTTACTTCCATTTTGGCCAAAAACTACCTTAAGATTTAGAGTGGAAAAGGTGAGTCACGCTCATCTATAGTAATCAGAGTAGATTAGCCACCTTCATGAAGAGGGAAGCATGATAGTTATTTAACAATCATATTATCAGGGTTAATTTCCATTAAGCTTTACATGATTCCTTTTGTATAGAACAAATATGTGTAAACGAAAGCAAAAAAATATATTATATTGTGTGGATATTACTTTTATCAAGCTCTATGCTGTCTAAATTAATATTTTACAAGGTCAAGCCCTTTCCAGCCTATTTTCGCAAACTCACATCCACAAAGTCAAAACGAAAACTGTAGAAGAAAATTACAGAAACTGGAAGGGGCCTCCAGCAGCGCCTAAAGCTAAAGTTGAACATAGACGAACCACATGAAGAACCACTACTTGAAGAAGCATAGACATTCGTCAAGTTATATCTTCTTCAAACTTTACAATTATTGTATTATTACTCCTTTGAGACTAACTTTTGTGTCATGTATTATTTGTCAACCTACAGATTGGTTAAAGATCTAAAAAGGGGCAACTTTCTGACTAGCATTTACCAAAAGAGGAATATAGGTTCATTGGTAGATCACGTGCCCTGACAACATTCAAGCGTACAATTATTGGAAGCGCACAACACGAGTTTCATCTTCTCTCTTCTCTCTCTCTCTCTCTCTCTTTGTGTCTCTCTCTCCTCTCTCTCACTTTGAAGTTTTCTTTCAACCAAGAAATTCATCACATGCCAAGAACACAATCATGCTTGACAGTTCTGTCCACGATTGTTTCGATATAATTTTGCTTCGAACCCTCTGTAGCTATTTTACCATTTCTGTCAGCATAACCGTTTGACGAAAGATCATAAAAGGGACTACTTTCCTCCAAGTGTTTACTAAAATATGCATTTATTCGGATGACTAACTCGTCACATTGGCAGTATATGCGCCGTCAATTATTGGCGCTGTAGGTGAAAACAAAGCTTTATCCATATCTATCTCACTCACGTTTACTCCAAAAAGTGACGGACAGAGAGAGGGTTGCATAGATGAAGCTTTGTTTATGTACCGGCGGCAGGTACCCCACATTTGTAGAAGGTCAGCGTGACTCGTGGGGATATCCCACCTAGATCGGATAGCTTAGCATGCGCAGCGAGTGAATCTGTTGTTATCTTTTGGGGACCCCGTGGACCCACGTAAAGAAAACCCCCACAGGATTAAGAAAATGTGCAGGTAGATTGCGAGGAGAGAGAGAGAGAGAGAGAGAGAGAGAGATGCATGAACCTGGGTCGCTTGCGTAGTGAGAAGTGCTTTTGAAAGCCTAAGGGGAACGGCCAATGAGCGACTGTATGGGGAGATAAATGATTGTCGCCGAAGAGCTGATTGTGGCCATCGACGGGATTGGACTCTAGGAAGGATAAGAACAACTTGTGAGCCAGTCAACACCAGAAATTTGCAGTCAACAGGCGTGACGTGTAATAGTCGTTTGGATGGGAGACAAACAGACGAGCACCTCCCCCGGTAGCCACTACTCTTCACAACAAGACCTTCGGGTGTGAACCATCTTCTTCCTTCCTCCATCCTGTGCCTCTCATGTCATATCAGTCTCCTCTCTCTCTACCTCCCCCTCTGTGTCTGTCAACAAGAATCCCACTGTAGGCGATGAAGACTGCGTATGGGAAGAATTTGACTGGAGTGCCTTCGAGTGGTCTTCTCTGATTCTGCGGTATAGAGAGCCCCCCCTCCCCAGATGCTGGGTTCGAGGCAGTGACCCTTAGAAAGGGTCCATTGGAGTCCGCCACAATCGAAGGTTCCGCTAGAGAGATGAGGGTGTCCGTAAAGACCTATGACTGAGACGGGCGTCTAAGAAGAAATTGTGTGGGTTGCACCTTAGAAAGAGTGAATGCTATGTACCCTCAAGTCGGCTAAGGGGGTTGCGGCTGGTCGGGGAGGGAAGAGAGAGAGAGCTTGGAAAGCCGAGCGCAGACGATGGCTTGCTCACCAACGATTGGGGACACCCCCTGACTCGGCAGGAAGAGAGGAGAGCTGAAGCGAGTGGACTTTCTCAGTACATCTATAGTGTGACGTATTAATTGAGCACCACGTGGCTCCTCCCGTCTCTACAGAAGCAGACAGAGGTGAGAGAGAGGCGGGGAGCGAGACCGTCCGGTGTGCGGGGGGCGGGGCGGAGGGAGAGAGAGAGACAGTGATGCGATCAGATCTGAGGTGGCCAAACACGGTGAAGCCAACTTATCGCACGCGTTTCCCGGCACCTTCTGTTGCCCTCTTTGGGAGCACGTGAGCTTATCACCGGTGGATGGGGAAAGGTCCCATGTCCTGCGGCCACAACCTTGTTAATTCACTCCCTCTGCAGCTGATGTTACGTCAAATCTCCATAACCTCCCCGGCCCACACCTCTCTCTCTCTCTCATTCTTTCTCCCACTTATATCTCTTTTCCGTCTCTCCCCCTTCAAGTACTATAACTAAGGAGCGCCCCACTCATTCTCCAGCTCGCGTCCCTCTCTTCTTTCCCTTACCGACCATGGTGGTCTTACAGAAGCCAGCCCTTGAACGGATCTCTCTCGTCAATCTCCACGCCAGGCAAGGCGTCCCTCTTGCTCGCATCCCCGTGGTCGACCTGTTAAAGCCCGACGCTACGGCCATGGTCAGGGCATGTGAGGAGATGGGCTTTTTCAAGGTCACCAACCACGGCATCCCTGCGGGAGTCATGACAAGGCTGGAGGCCGAGGCTTTGGCCTTCTTCTCCCAGCCCCAGCGGGACAAGGAGCGTGCTGCTGGGGTGGCTTGCCCGGTTGGCTACGGCAACAAGAAGATAGGCCCCAACGGAGACGTCGGTTGGCTCGAATACCTTCTGATGCAAGTCAACAGTGGTCGCGACGCCGCCGAGCCGGTGTCGGCTCTGCTCAAGGAGAACGGTGCCGTCTCCTTCTGGTAATTCTCCCCTCGCGGCTAAGTCTTTGAAAAAAATAAACCCAGAACCATAAGGTCGCTTAAATTGGCTTTGGCGATTCTTCTGCAGCGGCGCTCTGGTGGAGTACGTGGCGGCTGTGCGGAGGCTGGCCTGCCGGGTGCTGGAGCTATTGGCGGAAGGTCTCGGTCTCGCGCAGAGGAACGCTCTGAGTCGGCTGTTGGTGGACGAGGAAAGCGATTCCATGTTCAGGCTCAACCACTACCCGCCATGCCCGCCGATGAGCGGGGCGCCAGGTTTCGGCCTCACCGGGTTCGGAGAGCACACTGACCCACAGGTCATCTCCGTGCTCCGCTCCAACAACATCAACGGGCTGCAGATCTCCCTCAGAGACGGCAGCTGGGTCTCGGTTCCTGCTGACCAGTCCTCATTCTTCGTCAACGTCGGCGACTCTCTCCAGGTGACGCGTTCGACTAGTAGCAGTATCAACGGCATCATTGCTGCCATCATCAATTCTCCAACCTACTACACATTGTCATATCGTTCTCTTGCTTTGTCTAAGCGCCATCTTTTCTGATAATAATTACTTTTTGCTTGTCTGTATCAGAATTTAAAATCTGGACTAAATAAGAAATGCTATGAATAGGTTTGAAGTTGGATTTTTCCATTGTTAAACTAGATATCAAGTCACACGTAGTGTTCCAACTCTTGCAATTTTACATATACGGAGAATGGGTACCATAAAATTAAGTTTATGTCTATAAAGAGGAGAATTGTTCGCTCGTTATTAATGGATCTTGATTTAGATTGTATATCAAATGCAAACTCTATTATAAATAATGGTCTAAGAAGATAGTGAGAATTGCCTGCAGCTGTGTTCGCTAATTGTTGATTTTGATTTGGTGAGGATTTCTCTCTTGGGGCTTTTGTCTGTGTTTCCATGCAGGTGATGACGAACGGTAGATTCAGGAGCGTGAGGCACAGGGTGCTTCTGGGGAGCAGCACTGAGCCAAGGGTATCGATGATCTACTTCGGGGGGCCGCCGCCGGGCGAGAAGCTGGCGCCACTGCCGGTGCTAATGGCGGATGGAGAGCGCAGCCTCTACAGGGAGTTCACGTGGGCCGAGTACAAGAAGGCTGCCTACAACACGAGATTGGCCGACAACAGGCTGGGCCTCTTTGAGCTCTGGCGAGGGGCTCGCTGAATGTGACTTCCCTCTTCATGGCGGACGCCCGTCCCTGACGACTATGAACGTGACTCCTTCCCTCACCTGTATTCCATTCTGGGAAAGCGGGTTGGTCAAAGAAAGCAGGCTGGCGCAGAGAGAGATAGGGAGGGGGGGGAGGAGGTTCTCTCCCTTTCCATTTGTTTCAAAGTCTTCGTTCCTACCATGTAGAAGTACTCTGTACGAAACTTATGCTGTTTCCGTTTGCTGTGCATATGAAATTCCTGGGCTTCTTGTTTTCTCTCCATTAATGTCATCAAGCACCCACATAAAGATCCGCCTTTTTTTCCACAAGCAGCATACCACATCCGGGGGCCCCGGTCAACTCCCCACTAGCTTCAAAACATAACTTAGTAAGCAACATATTACGTTACTTTTGAGGAGGAGATTAGCTGCTACAGGATGATTAAAAAAATAGTACCGTATTATATTCAAAAAATAATATATCTATCGCTAAAAAATGGACATTAATCGTAGGAAATGGATTTTGTGTTCGATGGCTAATGCTCATAAAACAATGTTCAAAACTTTCAAAACTCAATATTTTTTGGAAAGTAGAGGATGCTAGAGTAATCCTTTATAAGTTAATATAAAATTATGCCAATCTACTTGTCTATAGGTTTGTAGTTGGATGACCCAATAACTATACTATGATACATAATTGATAAACCATGTCGAGATATCAATATGCATTTATATTTCTAAGACTTTGAGCTGAATAAAAACAAGGATTACAATAAATGTAGGGTATAAGTCTTCTAGGAGTAAGAGGCTTGATCAAGTTTCACTTGGAAAGCTATCATTTATTAGAATGCTACGCCAAATTAACTTATAAAATAGATCACCCGAATGTCACCTCTACCTTCTTGGATTAATAAAAGACCGTCACATTGTGCGTGGGAGAGAAGGTCCACTTCATCTCCCTTCCTACAACGAATAATGGCATCGTCCTAAATGGAAAATGGAATTGCTCTGACTATCATAATTGTGTGATCTCACGTCAAGAGAGGCAATCTAGACCACGCTTGTGAGTATCCTAGTGAATCAGAGAATGTGACTAAATTAACGAGCAGAAAATAAAGGAGGTGGAGAGAAGAATGCAAGAGAAAGCTTCTTCCTCACGTCTACTTTTTTTGCCTTGTTCATCACGTCTGCTTTACCTACCCTCCAATTTCTAGGGCTGAAAACTCAAAGATGGTGGGTGGGTGGGTTGGGTGTTTGTTGATTCGAGGAAAACTCTCTAGCACCGTTGCTGTCACCTCGTGCAATGTCTCATTCCATCGTGCTATCTATCGCCCCGGGTGGGGGACTTAGAGAATCAGTTGTTAGTAATGTCTCCCTGCGCTGGTGGCGGCGCTGCTCTGCTTCTTCCCTTCTATGTCCAATGAGGCGGCAGCCTTTTGACTCCGCCCACAGCGATGCAAAGGTGGATACGTGAAGCACATGGAGAATCTTTGAGGAAGAAAGTGAATCCACGACATAGATCCCTTTCTCACCCGTCTTTATCCCGGATAAATATGAAAGTATATATGTACTCGTACTAATATTCAAACTTTAATTAAGGTTTGATGATCTCAACCATCATTTATCGAGGGAGGCATTCAAGTTATGAAATCCCCAAAGAAAAATCAAACTAATTTCACGGCCTACATGTCCATCAAATCAATGTTGAAATTATGTCATGGTCTTTATTCCTCACTCTATTACTGGCAAAATTCCAATAACAATAGTGGAAGCTTCCTCATGCATTCACGCAAGGAAAAAATATTCATGAAAGAAGTGCTGTTTACATAATCTTTTTTGTCTGAAGGTGGCATCGTTAAAGTATAACATGAAAAGTGCGATATTAGTTATTGCCCTCGTAAAAATATACATACATTTCATTAAATATTTCATATGCACCCTTATTCTAACACAAGAGCATACTCCTCTTCATGCACCTCATCATAAACGCATCAAACACAATGAATCATATCATTTTAAGTTTTTAAACAGTTTATCTCATTCATTTAGCCCTAAACTTCATTACCTTCTTGTTCTTATTAACAAATTGAATGACATACATCACAACAAAACATCAGGAAGCTTAGAATTAACATTTGATATTATTTTGTGTTGGTATGCGTTAAATCCAATGCCTATGCAAGCATATAACATCAGAATTTTGAGAAATACATATGCATACACATGAGAAACTAACTGAAAAAATACCACATCGATAGATGATATCTGTAAAGAAAGCTTTCATCAATCAGGCAGGGGCACAAATTTTCAAGTAGGTATGCTTCACTAAAATTTTCAGATTTTTAAAATTTCAACCTATGGATTAACCTCAACCATTAAACCTTCATTATTTTTCTCCTAAAAGTATTTATGACAGAAACAACTAGTTAAAGATAGCAAAATAGAAGTATTAGTCTCTTGAAATTGTTTTTTCTTGGGGCCTGGTGCAAAAGGATGAGTACTTCACTATTATTGTGGTTAGGGATCACCTAATGCATTAGCTGCCTATCATTGTTTGGATGTAAGGAGGCAATGAAGGAACCCAAAATAGGGGTTAATGAGTTCTTTTTCTTTTAAAGGTTTAGGTTAATAGATCCAATAAAATATAATGAGAAATACCAGAACCTACATGATTTAACTCATTTTAGATCATTAAGATTATCATCTATGAGAACTAGACAATTTATAACGATTTGGCACTCCTAGCCTCTTCGACTCTCAAGAAATGTCTTTAATAGATACCACGATCTACAGATCATACTCCAACTCAGTATCAAGTGACAACCTTCATGAACTAAATTCTTCACTCTAGAATCTAGAATGCCCCTAATGCAATCTTTTAGATCTTCAATTCTCAATAGGCAAATATGAGTGGTTTGGTATCACCTTAATGTCTTATAGCTCTGGGACACCAAAATGCTAATAAGAAATATAGATAGTAATATCCTTCTGACTGGTATAGTATGAAGAAGAATATAAGTTTATGAACAAAATAGTGTGAAGAAGAATTGAACTGAATATGATAACTACTGATTTCTTAACTCTCTTGAACTTTGTTCATTGGCTTGGAGTTGGGAGCTCTTTTTTGGTCTTCAACTCCTTCAAATATGGTTGATGGAGATTTTTTTAACCAACATGATGGCCATTATAATCCCTCTTTGGAATTTAGGAGGTGATGGTGAATCAACTCTTAAAGAGGCCCAAACACTATTTTATCCCCTAGGTTTCTCCTTCATTGTAAGGGCATTATGATCTTCAACTAGTAGCTTTGTTTTCACTAACTTTTCTTTATTCCATGTGAACTACACTCTCTATTATTATTCTTTAGATATTAACCTAGGAAATTGCTTCCACTTGACTTGTAATGAAATTGGCTTGTAAGGGAATCCATTGTATGTCTATACTTACATTTCATGAGGCATTGAACATGATTTATGTTAGATATGAACTTCCATTTCTCTTACAATTGTTTGCAAAGCCCAATGCTTAATATGACAATTCCTTCTGTTAATTTTTGGTGAATCTGCAATGTTGTTGGAGAATCTTATCTAATTCAATAGCAATTTATGTGTTATATAACTTTGCTTATGTAAATTTGTTGGAAACAATATAGCTTTCCCAATCAAATCTTTGGCAAACACTTCAAAACTAAATCTCAATAACTTAAAGTTCATGTTTAATTAAAATGCCTTTCTTCACACCAAAAAAATATTATTGTAATTGATCAGGTTTTTTTTTTTTTTTCTATGAACCTCAATATAGGTAGACCATTCTTGAGATTAAATTTTTTTTAAAGCCAATTACACCAAAAGTATTTGAATTCTTTGAGCAACATTCAACATCTTTATCCAAATATTTATATCCAAAGAATTTTATGAATACTGTTGAAAAATATGGATCTAATGAGGCAAGATTTTCCTCACTACATAGGATAGAAAAAATTTAAAAGTGTTATGAATAAATCATATGAATTCATATATCATTTCTATTTAAGTCACAAACCAAATAAAGAACACTTATTTGTTCTTGTCTTCTCTCTTCTTTTGAAATTTTCAATAATCAACAATTTATAATATCATAAAAACACCAATCATCATATTTAAATTAACTAGTCTTTAAAATATAGTTTTCTTTTACATAGATGCATTATACAGCTCGAACCAATACTATTGGATCTTAAAAAACTAATTTTAAATGACAAACTTTGGCATAGGAAAATAACTAACCATTTTATCCTTTCGATTTTAAGTTTTATGATGAATGTTTTAGACATGATCTCATCATTTTCATTTCTCAATGCATGGTTTTAACTTGTAATCATCAAAGTATCTTGGTACAGTATTTTACACTTAAATTTGTCAACTCATGTTTATGTTGTAAAATGTATAATTGATGTTTTCTTGAGCACTAAAATAATTATGCAATTAAAAAGTGTGAATGATTTTCAAAAATAATTGTGTGAATAAACTATCATGTGACCTATTATGAAGAAATCACATAATGATACAATATCTTATCATTTTTTGTCAAGTTTAAATCATATCTTTATAATTTCAAGTTGCAATCGCTTCTAATTAGCTTATTATAGGTCCTTATTAAATATTTTAAATGAGTCAATCTATATTGAAAAGTAAGGTTAGTCTGTTGTTTAAAACAAAACAAATAAAATTTGAAGAATGACATATGGGATCTTCTAACCTTGGTCATGAAAGTCTATTTAAGTGCTCTAGAAGTTTCAGTTCTTTTGTATTGCTCAAAGGTTATGAATATGTTTAATGTTCAATTATGCTTCTGAATGAGAAAAAACATAAACATTTGAATGTTTGGATCCTGGTTACTTTTCCTTACTAGCAATTCCATATGGATTTTGTCTTTATGAGAAAATCTAAGCTGAGTTGAAAATTAGACACAAATATCCTTGAATTCTACTTACGATTTTTTTCTTCTTCATGTTGTGTTGATACTTGTTAGTAGACTAACAATAATATGAAACTATTGAATACCTTTCATCAACAATTCTGGCTACCACATGCCTTTTAATTTTTATGGTAAGTTATTGAGAAATGGTATAGTTGTTTCATTTTATTAAGTTTCTATAAATCATGTTAAATGGACTTTTCTGTGTCTTCAGACTTTATTGGCAAGTAGGTTGAAAAAAAGGTTGCTAATAGGTTATTAAATACATTCACTACAATGTTGGAGCATCATATTTATTTGCACATGTATACATACATGATATATAAGTATGTTCATGTGTACAATATTTCAGATAATTTTCTAATGAACATTATCAAAGGGTAGTATTGTCAAATTTTACTGTTGTCTCAATTGAATGATATATCTATAACGAAAAAGTGACAAACATACTATAAGATAGTACATATGAACAAAATAAAAACAATTTGATGATTTAATTATTTTGGAATCATTAGGGCTAATAATTGTATCATTATCAAAAAAATTCATATTTTTTTGTCATATTTAAATCAAAAATCTAAATCTTTCATGTCTTCATCTTCTTTATGAGCATTTATTGACAAATATGGTTATATTTTCAAAGATAATTGATGGATAAACAGCATTAATTTGTTGACAACTAGTAACGCTCATCTCCAATCGAATTTCTCCTAATGTATGTAGGGTTGGATAGGTCTTGAGATGCAAGTGTCACCACTTAATCAAATAATTATCCAATTCCATACAGGTGACACCACACCGGCTCCAATCGATAGTAGACCAAATAGTTCTAGGAGTGTATATAAGTGCCAAGGATACTCCAAGGACCTAAGGCATAGGAGCCGAACCAACAAGTGGTTCCCGCAGAAGAAATTGGAGCAGAAATGTGTTCCCTCCGGGGAGCCATCCGCATTTTGTTATTCAGTGTCGCAGCCATAGCCGTAGTTTCCATTGTCTCGTGGTTCTCCTCCACTCCGACTCTCCACAGGGAGTTTCACCGGCGGGCCTTGTCCTTCTTACTTCCTTGCAATGCTATTCTTGTCTGTCTCCACCTCTTTTGCGGAATTCAGGTCTGTCCCATCCTTCTCTCAACCGCATTGTGCATTGTACCTGCGCCGCCGTTAATGCCTTGATGCTCGCAGAAAAGACGGTGGGGACCCGTACCGGCGTGCTTCCTCCACCGACTTCTCCTACGTGGAGCAGCAACCCAACAGTGGAGAAGCGGAGGAAGGGGCCTCGTGCGACGGCGAGGATGAGACCCCCTCCACGTGTACCGTCTCCGCAGCCAATAATAGTAGGGTGCCATTGGAGCAGCTGGTAAGGGAGAAAGGTCCATTTGTGAGATACGTTTGGTTGCTGGAGACTAACGTGGAAACCGCTTCGAAGGAAGAGATAATGGAGGATGATGGGGCGGACGACGATGAAGGCAGCGATGATCTCCGTAAACGGGTGGAGTCATTCATCGCCTTGCAACGCCAACTTATTTTTCGGGAGGAGTTGATGCTGTCGATGGTGGTCAAATCGCCTTCTGCCATATCTGCCTTGGCATCTCAGACCAGCTGTGGCCGGCGGCGGACGATAGCCACCAGTTGAGCTGGTATCCTTTGAGCATAGATAGGGTAGCCGTGGACGCCTCCCCCGCAGTGGCTTCCCCAGGAAGCACAATAATTTTTGACAATTCTTCTGATGGCCAAATGTTAGAAGACGGATAGACAGACGCCAATTTTAGAAGAAGAATAGACAAAGGCCATATGTTGTAACTTTGGATAGAGAGAAAGAGAGAGAGAGGTATAAAATCTAGAAGTCTAAGTGTCGCTTAATAACTTTGCGTCGGATTTATCTTTTTTTGTACTCTAGAAAAGGCCATAATAGAGGAATAACCCCAGGTCATATGGTATCCAGAAGTGCATCAGGCCGGATTGGACGAATAAGGAATGTTTACCCGACAGGGGACTTGAGAAAAATACAAGATAGAAAACCCTTTCCCTCTTCTCTTCCCTGGCTGCATCAGCCGATAGTAGTCAGCATCTCTGGGTTTCATTCCTTTTTCCCACTGTCACCTGACGGTGATTCAATGGCTGTCCCCACTGGCGGAGGCGAGGCCATTTTCAGTAGGGGGCGGTGGTCCTTCCCTTCCCCGAAAACATATCAGGAAATGCTGATTCCAGTCGTAGATATTATTTCTATTACAGTGCGTACACTGCCTGTGGGCTTAGAAAGTTCACCAAACAAATAACCCAGTGAACACCTCACAATTTAAAAGACATGATGAGATGGGGGATTATTAAGTCTCTTTCCAACGAATGACTCGACCTGTGGACGTGACTTTTCTCCCACACCCGCAATCGATGGGTTCTTCTCGTCCTTGGGTATGATGCCAGAAGTTATCTTTTTGTTATTCAAGAATTGTTGTTATCAGCCTATCCTTCTCCATTCATGATTATTCCTCACAGTTCGATGTAGATCTACTCATTCCTGCAGAGTCTGTAGAGCTCTATGAACTTCAGAGAGGATTACAACTAAAACAAGAAATAACGCTCTTCATCGTTCAAAGGGATTACTGAAAGCAAAGAGCTTCGACTCTGTAGCTCAAGTTCTCTTACGCTGGAGGGACAAATTGGGCCGGGCTCGAGCCACTTTCACATGACCCCGCTCTCTCTCTCTCTCTCTCTCTCTCTCTCTCTCTCGTTTCAATCATTTTCTCGAAAACCTGTAGGACCTAGCGGAGGACGGCGATGAGCTCTCGAAGAGGATGGAGTCATTCATCGCGAAGCAACGGAGTCTCGTCGGCGAGAAGACGACGATGCTGTTGTCGGTCGCCAACGCGTGGGTAATTGGAAGCCGTCAATACCACCATCTCGTTTCCTTGATGATATTCAGTTTCTTTCCGACGATTGCCTCCATCCTCTCCCTGACGTCATCGCTGTCCACCTCCTCCATCGTTACCTTTTTCCTCGCCTTCCATGACTGACCCCGGTGGACCTTGATCACCAGCTCATCGCGGGCTAAGTTCTCTTCCACCACGGATACCACGCCGACGCTCCTGTTCGTTGTTCTATTTATTTTGTGGACACTCAATCCCGCGATTCCCAGGTGCCGAAAGATGGATAGAGAGATAATATATCTAGAATGGCAAGTAAGATCAGGAGCTGGAAAGAGGAGAGTGCAAACTGTCAACGGACGGATTGAGAGAGACCAAGAAGGGACAGGTAAGGACGTGAAGACCTTTTAGGCAAATCCGGCCGTCTAATTAAACGGATGGCTTGAGAGAGAGAGAGAGAGAGAGAGAGAGAGAGAGAGAAGAAAGAAAGGTGATACATTATTTCCGGTTGGGGGGCATAGAGAGAGACTAGCCAGTAGGGGGATAGACAGGGATATTAAAAGCTGTTAGAATTTCCAAGTCCGATAATGTAGCTGAAAGGATCCGGATTTATGATAGGAAGAGAGAGAGAGAGAGAGAGAGAGAGAGAGAGAGACTTTTATTCTTCACGTTAGGGGACAGAGATGAAACGTCAGGGGACTACAAATGTTTGAAGGCCCAAAACTAATTTCTCCCAGGTGGTCTGAAAACGTAAAAATGTGGACCACAAATGTTTGAAGGCCCAGAACGATTTTAAGCATAATATTCAAACAATAAGGTGCAAAAATCATACTTAACACATCAAATTTTATAGTGTAACTTTTCTACTTTTTATTCACCATAAATTTTATTTTTAAAAATAATATAATTTTTAAGAATAGATAAAATATATTTTGGTCTATTTAATGGCATGAACATTGTATTTTTAGGGGATGATCAATAATATAATTTTCATTCCATTGAGAAGATTTCTATTTTCTTGTTGATTTAAGTAGCCCTCGTGGATTCAATATGTTATTCTGATTTTGTTGAACTCAAAGATTGGTAAATTCCTTATCTCATAGATTCAAGGCATGATGTGACTTAGTCATTGTATAATAAATCACGTAAATTTAAATTTTTTAAAACTTAAAATTAATAATTTTAAATTTTTTAGGAATATTTAAGAACAAATAAATTAATTATAATTTGTTAAAAGGTTTCAAAAATAGTGAAGAATTTTCAAGTCAATATAAGGATGTAAGATAATATCAAGTAATATTTTAAATTTTTCTTAAAGAATATGATTTTTTATGAGTTTTAGACTAAATGATGAATTTAAAATATTTCAAAAAATCATAAAAAAGAATAATAAAGGTGCAGACATCAAGATAATGTCAACATCTAATGAACACGAATCAGGTGAAAATAAAGTTTTTCTTGATGATTCCTACGTAAATAGTTAAAAATGATTTAATGGGTCAAATTAAGTTCTATAAAAGCTAAAAGAATCATAATTTAATGAAAAAGAGTTTTTAAACTTGAAATCACACAAGGTATCACTAAATTAAGTAAAGTAAGTTTAAAGTAAGAAAGGTAGAGTTCTAACTTCTCGACAATGATTGTCGAAATTCTATATGTTTGAGACAATTATCATACAATGTATATGGTCTCGAAGTTTCTTTTTGGACACAAACGACATGAGTAATTTTTAGATCTTCTTGCAAAATTTAGAAATTAAAGGAATGAGTCACTAAGTTGTCTCTGGTGGTTGTCACCTGATGGAACAAAAAGACAACGACTTTGTGACTCTTCAATAAATGTCACTTGATAGAGATGGGTTAGATAAAAATAAGACACATCTTAAAGAGCTTCATCCTCAAGTCTACACAGCAAGAAGATCTTCTTCATCACATCTAGTGTGTTTTCAAGAGGTGGAGACTCATCTCTCAACGAATCATCTTCTTTCTAATGACAACTTATTTGTCGATCAATTAAAAATAATTTACTCAATAGATTCACAATCTTTTTATCTAGAATCATTTAATAATTTTAATAATGATGCTCTATGAATCACGTTGATGAAATTTTTGTCTATGATTGAGTAATTCTAACAACTTAATCGTTCATTAGAAATTTGCAGAAAAATTATGATTTAATCAGATAAAAATATAATTTTTAGTTCTGATAAGATTCAAACTCTTGTTAGTTACCCACTTGTATGAGAAAGTGAAATAAGTATGTAAATAACCTTATAAAGTGATGTCATAAGAATGTCTCATTTTGATAAATAAGAGATATTTCAGATATTAAAATAGTTAAAATCTTTCAGGAGGCTGTGACCACCGATTTAGTCTCAAATTAGTTATATGTCAATTTTTGAAGCTGATATATAGTAATACGAGATTTGGTAACCAATATGTCCCTTTGTCATGTGTAGATGACCACTCCTTGTCTCACACCTAGTTGTCACTAGTGATGTGAAAAGGGAGTGATGCACATGTCTTCTACTAATCTATCTATAGTTGCTTGATTCTTTGCTTGTAGCTTTCCCCAACTATGCTTCTAACTCACTTGCAAGCTTAGCTAGCTGACAAGTTTCTCCTTTTTCTATTTATTTTATTTTATTTTATTCTTCTTTATTTATCTCAAAAAATATTATAATAATTATATAAATTTATATAAAATCACATAATTAGCCAAAATATTATATTAACTAACTAAAAATCACTTTTTATTATTTAACATAAATATAGGTCTATTTATCATGAGTTAAGACTAAAACTATATTATTAATTAATTATTAACTCATAATAATGAAGACTTATCAAGGCCCAATTCCATTCTTATGCAACTTCCACTATATTAAGTGATATCATAGAACAGTTTTCAAGTCTTAGGTTCATCCCCCTGTGAACATATCATACAAATAAAAAGAAGTATATCCTATGAGCCTGATAAGTCATGAGGTAGCTGCCTTATATATAATGGTTTTTAAAGTTTCAATAAAATGTTGGCTAGAACTTGGTAGGTATGCTTATTATGTAGGAAGAAATTCTTTGAAGTATTAAACTAGTGAGATAAGATTTATATGTCAGTATTGGTTAGAGTGGTAATGAGCTAAAGCACCATTCATAGAGAATGAGAGCTATTGAAATTTTTAAGGCACAAATTTTTGTTCTTTAATTTGATCTAATAATATGAGTAATTGATCTAAAGCATCTCTGATTGATTGACGAACAAACCGTTGTCAAGAAGAGTCACCACCTCCTGAGAGCATACCAAATGCAATAAAGAGGCTCCACTTGCTGTGTGGACTTGAGGATGAAGCTCTTTGACACATGCCTCACCTCCATCCAACTCCTTTTTGTCAAGTGATAATTGCTGGAGAGCTGCAAAGTTGTCGTTTTTCTAGTCCATCACGTGACAATTGTCAGAGACAATTCGATGACTCATTTTTTTGATCTCTAGACTTTGCAAGAAGATCTAAAAATTACTCACATCGTCATTGTCTAAGAAGAGCCTTCAAGGTTATGGACACTACATGACAATCTTCTCAAATACTCAAGAATTTGGTACATCATTGGCGCATCACCACTATGACATTAAAACTCTATTTTCTTACTTTTAACTAATTTTTTAATTTATTTAGTAATAATTTATGTGATTTAAATTTACCAAAGTATTCTTCATTCAATTATGATTCTTCTAGCTTTTATAAATCTTAATTTGCTCAATTAAATCATTCGTAATCATTTATGTAATGATATTAGGTGAAATTCTATTTTTAATCAGATTCATGTCCATTGGGTGCTGACAACATCTTGATGCCTGCACCTTATTTCCCTTTTTTGCAAATTTTAAATAAATTTTATTTTTATTTCTTAATCAAAAATTTATAAAATATCATATTCTTTGAAAAAAATTCTAAAAAATTAACCAATATTGTATTACATCCTTGTGATTAACCTGGAAAATTCTCACTATTTTGGAGCTTTTATTGAATTATAATTAATATATTTGTTCAGAAATACTTCTAAATACCCAAAAATTAGTATTTTCTAGTTTTATAAATTTTAAATTTACATGATTTACTATACAATGACTAAGTCACATCAGTATGTTCTCTCATTTCTACCTTTCTATGAGTCAATATATTTAATTTTCTAGTTTTGTAAGTTTTTAGTTCATGAGATAACATCTAATTCAAGATTAACTCAACAATCAGTCAATAATACAGATCAATACAAATGAAATGATGTTTGATTTCTATATATTTAGTTTAGAATGAATGATAATATTCTTGGTTTACTCAATGGCACTCATGTTGTCCTACATCATGAAAAATAATTTAACTCAACTAGATAGTCTTGATGTCAAGATTTAACCCACTAAAGTTGTGTACAACATAGTTTGGCAGCTAGGTATTCAACTTCATCAATTGACAAGGCAATAGTTATTTATTTATTTAGTATTCATGAAATTAGGAATCCCTTTAAAATTATCTATGATGCATTGATACTTTTCTTATGAATTTTATTTTCAATGAAATCAAAATCACTATAAGCAACTGGATTCATGTCAAACTAATCAAAATAGTGTGACTTGACAAAAATACAATCCAAAAGCTAGTTGACTGCTTAAAAGAACACTCTCAGTAGAAGAAAGAATAGTAGCAAAAGAGAGAGAGATGACATTCTCCCTCTTTAAGCAAACTAATTTTGAGATGGTCAACTTGTTGCTACTATTTTACGTAGATATAAAACCCTCTGCCCGCTTCCCCCCTCTTGTTAGTTTTTATAAATTTAATGAGTTGTTGATCCAATACCTTAATTTAAGCAATCATCCATGAAAACCACAAATAGATGCCTCCTTCACACCTTCTGGCTTTATCATCGATGATCATCCATATAGTTATTACACTTTTCAATGTGGATTATCATAGGTTAGGAATTATCTCACAAGAGAGAGAAGGGATGAGATCTCTTGTGAAAGGGAGAGAAAGAGAGAAGAGGAGAGAAATCTCATGTGAGATAGAGAGAGAGAAAAGTCTCACAAGAGAGAGAGAAGGAGAGAGAGGGAGATCGATTGAGAGAGAGAAAAAGAAGGTGATCAATTGAGAGGGAGAGAGG